TACACCTGGAGGGGCTTTGTGTGTGTGTGGGCAGCATCTTGGACAGAGCTGCTGCTGCTGCTGGCTGATTGATGTGGGCTGCATGCAGCATCGATCCACTTGTGACTGGCACAGTGCTGTGAACAGCTTCTCCTATTAGCTGTGTTTTGCTCATGTTGGATCTGGGGTTTTGAAAATTTCGGGTGACAAGAGTCAGAAGAAACTCTTGTAGGTGTCCGTCACGTTGAAGAACCCCTCAAAAATGTCCACTGGCATTTTCGGTGGCGGGGAGAAAGAAACAAGGACGCTTCTCTGAGCAGATCATCCTACCGGTGGTGATTCTTAGCTGTAATTTCGCCCCCACTTCAGCAGAAGTTTACTCACTCTAAGAAGGATCTTCAGGCATTTGATTTCCCTTAAAGCGAAAGGGAGGCCAGACATGGCTTGGGATTTAGCTTTCGAGACGAAGCCCCCCTTTTAATTGGAGGTGTTCAGCTTGCGTGCAAGCGAAAGTGTTTATGTGTCTGTGGAGCTTTTTGAGCCCCACTCACAGGGAGAAAAATGCATCACGGATAAATGTCGGTTTACAGCACGCGGGGAGGGAATTAGGAGGTAATCTTCATCCGCCAGCCTTTCTCCGCACCCTACATGGAGGCAAAGCCGACACCAGACGAGGGTCCAGTCTTCCCGGGGTGTGTTTTGGTGTGAGCCACAGGATGCAACCGAGAGAAATCAGATTAGGAGAGTTTCTCGTGCGCATGGAAGCAAAGGAAGAGGCAGTAATTTGGACTCCCATGAGAAGGAATTCTGGCTTTGGTCGTTTTGCTGAGCGAAGTGACTCAAGCGTAAACATTTCAGTGTTTTTTTGTTGTTGTTTGTTTTCCCCATTGGAGGCTGGAACTTCAAAGACTGTTTCCAACTTGAATATGGGAACTTGTGTGGGTGTAGCTGAGTAATCAGGATGCTGACTGATTTGCATTGAGACCCATATCCTTGTCGTTTAAACGAGGCGGGAATAGGTGTCGCACTCCGGGTCAGACAACACAATTTAAATATCTTTAGGATGAAAAAACGCTTGTTCAGAGGATGGAAACTCATGTTTAATCCAGTTCCTAGCCCACTGGGAAGCCATTTTAAATACAAAAGAGCTTATTCAAGAGAGACCAAGAATTTAAAATGCTCCCCCCCCCTCCCTACAGTAGGTGGCAGCACAGGGTGGAGCATGCAAGCGTTCAAGTGGCTAAAAGGCAAAAAAGCAAATCATTTCCACAGATATCTTTCAGCTTATTTTCCATCTCATATGAGTCTGACGATTTCAAACCACTAAATTAAAAATAGGCCTATGAAGCACACAAAATGAGACGGTGACTGTTTTTATGTAAGCGCTGACTGCTTTCATAAGCTGCTGAGTCACATAGAGAGAAAATAAACCACAAGAAGAAATAAGGACCTTCTTTTTTCCTGATATCGGATAAATGATAACTGTTGTAAATATGTGATTGGACAGAAATACAGAATGCAAGTATGTCAGAAAAAAAGCACTTTATTTGATTTATTCCATATTTCTATACTACAAGGACACAATCTAATAGAAAAACTATTTCTTTATCTTCTGTTATCAGTTTTTTTTTTATTTCTACCTTTATCTTTTTGTCATTTCTTTCTCTCAAACAATGCAGATGTTGAGCAAACTTCTGCTGCGTCCACACAGAATTGCTATGACTGAGAATTAGTGATTTCTCTTCTTAAACTCAGTTTATCAGCTTTTCAAAATATCAACTAATTTCAAAAGCAGGAAAAGAGAAATGAGAAAAAGGTAAAAAATTTATTTAGAAATGCAACACCTGGTAAATGCGGAAATCGGCAGAACTTGATGAAGAAATTAGAGATGAAAAATATTTTTTTGTGGACCTCTAGAAACGTACGTTAAAAATGTAAAGGTGTCTTAAGATATTTTGAGATAACAAACTTGACGGTTAAGACACATTTTGAAAGTTAAAGGTAAATTTAGACCGTTAAATTTAAGAGAGAAGTGCTTCGAAATTTGAAAATCTTATTTCAGTGGAGATACTTTTTTATTGGAAATCCAAATATGAGGAATGATTTTACTTTATGTATTAATTTCTCTCTTTCTTCAGTACACATGAGACTAAGCAGCCGTTGGAATATTGGCAAACACGGATTACATTTTTAGACACTGAAAAAGAATGAGTTATTATTTCAGCAGACAGAGTGAGGTGAGGAGAGGTCCGTGTCCTGTTGGCCGTTGTCCTTCACGGCAAAATGACAGGAAAGGTGCCAAGGAGACATTCAGGTGGTCGTGGCAACCTGCCGACACTCTGAGTGACCACGGAGTCACAACATGCCCGCAGTCCCTCGAGTTTCCCTCGAGACTCAGCAGCTCATGTTGTGTTAACCTCTGAACAGCCTATGCTTATCTTTAAGCGAAGCTCAACCTTTGGCAGTCTGCTAATGGTTAATCAGACGTACTGCAAATCTGCTGTCGTCCTCGTCTCCTTCCAACTGGACTTTTCCATGTTCATTTGGCAGTTTTTACTATCTGAGGTCAGGCTTTGTGATGCTCTATTCCAGGAACAGCAAACGGTTGACTCCACACAGAAAAGCATGTGATCATTGTTCCACTGATCAGCTTTGGCAATGCGAGGTTAAAGGTTGAACTCGGCGGAGCCAGTTCAGCAGTATTGGATTCGTCCTGCTGCAACATCGTGACATCGTGCCAAACATTGTGCCTTGGTGGGTGTTTGACCAGCGGTTTAACTTTTGTGCTGATGTTTCTGGATCTAACATGAGACAGTCATTCGGCGTAGGAGACCCAGTTTTATTTTTTTTTTACTTTTAATTTTGGATTGCGACCTAAAAAGAAATAAACTACCCGGTGCACTGGGCAGATGCTGAAACATGCAGGCATGCAGTCACACAGACAGAAAAATGGGGCAAGGAGAAGGGGGCACTGGCGTTCTCCATGTGCACCCTTTGGGAATTAACCCCTCAGCAATATGGGCTCATTAGTCAAAATGGTCTGAGGCGAGGAACTGAGGGCTGTTTGAACCAAAATCTATTTCCATCCTCTGCTGCCCACTTTGCATCTCCTCTCTGCAGAGACTGAGCAGAGGACGTTAATGGAAGTTGACCCAGCAGATTCAGGGAACCTGGACAGGTAGACGTCGAGCGCAACATGGACACTGTGTCCAGGGGTGGAATCATGCTGGCCGCTGGAATCTAACTATGTCAAGGACAAAGAAGAAACTATAATCTGGTTTAGTAATACAGCTATTACACAAGCACACACACACACGCTCAGAGGAAAATACTTTATTTGTTCACCTACAGCACCGGAAGAACTCTGACTCAGTTTTCTAAATTTCACACCAGTAATCCGGACTCGTTTGACCTACCTCAAACGAGGCCATTACGAACGGGTCTCTAAAACACCAGGACTGCGTCTTAAGTGTGGCAGTAGCTGTCGGTCAGTAGCTGAAACGCGTGTGGAGATTCTGTCAAGATCGGAACACAAACGCAATACAGAGGGAATCTGTTGCACGTCCTCTGTTATCTCATTAAACGTCGTCCGAACACTTTAGTTGTTTGCGAGTCTTCTAAACTAATCTGCGACGCTCATTTTTTCTTTTATAGCTAACCGCAGCTCTAATTGAAAAACGTTCCTTATAGTCTTGGTGCCGCAGAGCGATGAGTCACATTTAGAGTCGACAACAAAGCACGACATCATGCGCTAGGCGGATTGTCTTTGCTGCATGTTACCTCGTTGTCTTTCCTGGACAGAAACACTGGCCACGCTGTTTCCGTCATTCACTTTGTGTATTCTTTGTTTCTCTTTCTCGCAGACCGTACTCCATGACTACGGCGTGCTTCTGTGCCGTTTCTGTTTCCTCCCGAGACTGGACATTCCTTTCCACTGTCACCACATGCAAGGAAGCCTGACTCGCGGTCTTTGCTCTAATTCATGCCGAAAGTCTTTTGTGGAGTTGAGGTCAGCACTCTGCGCTGACCATCAAGGTCCTTTCACACCAAACACCTACATTAGCATTCTTATTGTCTGGTAGCGTAAAAAGAGGTGGAATTACTTTGGATCCCTTTGTAGGTTCTACTATGAAAATGGGTAACATCAAGGAAAAAAAAAAAGATAAAAAGCATTATTTAGCCATTTCATATCAGCTTTGGTGTCATTTCTTGACTCAGGCTATGTGGCTCCACACCCTGGGCAGCAATATGTAAGGCGGAACACAAGCATAGACATTAGGTGCCGTCTTATGTTGGATAGTACTATTTAAAACACATTTTCTGAAGCACAAGATTGCTGTCGAACAGATATAATATTCTATTCCGATTCCACATAAGGTTTCTGTTTTTCTTTGCAGAATAAATTTTTCGTGAACTGCGTCATGTAAGTAGTGAGAAATTGAAAAAGGGGGGGAAAGAAGAACCAAAGGTATCTGTTCACAGTAGCAAGCTGTAGAACCCAATCTGGAAGGTGGCAATAACAAAATCTCTAAACTTAGAGATTTTCTAATTAACCAATACAGAAATATGTTAAATTAAACAAGTGGTTCATTTAAAAGGAAGACTCAATCCATGTCTACCCAGCTAAAAGTAGGACTTTTCTTGCTTGAATCAGTTTCAGCTCAAGGATCAGGCCTAAAAAAAAGAAATGCTTCTTGTTAGAAATAAAATTCAATAGTTTATTAATACCTAGCCTCTCTCCTACTTCGCCCTTCTGGCCATAATTATTAGCGTAGGTGAAAGATAATCTTTGCCATTATACACTAAATTGTCTGGGCTGCAGCCACATTTAGTCGCATTATTAGGAGCCAGGGAAACAAGTAATGAAGGCAGACCAGCAGCATCGTGGTTTCATTTCACATTAGCTTTTGGACCGAGGTGCTGTGCAGCTGCAGTCTTTATTTTTTTTAATGACACGACTCTCCACTCTTTAAGACAGAGCAGAGAAACTGGTGTCAATCCGGAATACTTTTATCTATTCCTTTTTTTTTTTTTTGACCGCTGGATCAGGCACATTTCTCAGCAAATCTTTTAATTAGTTTGAGCGGCGCAGTGACGGCGACACACAGGCTCACCAAGCGCTGTCACTTCAGAGGAGGTGCAGCTGTGTTCTTTGTCAGATTATTGTTGATGGCAGCAGAATGTAAACTACAGATGGTCGCGTTAGCACCTGAACAACATGTCGGCTCCAACCATTCGGCGCTCGGCCCCAGCCTGTAGACACAGTTCCTCTTTTGGAGCAGCAGCAGAATCTGTTAGACAATATGGACTTAGAATTATTAACGTTGCTTAGTTATGAGTTCACGATCTTGTCTTGTGGCGTTCAATTTGCCATTTGCGGTTTCATACCCTCGTAGTTTTGGTTGTTTTGTGTTATCTGATACAAAATGAAGAGGTCGTGTCAAAGTTTAAGAGCAATTTGGTTAGAACAATGATCCATAGCACACAAGAAAGTTAACATGTTAATGAATTGCTCGTAAAAAAAAAAAAAAAAAGACAAACCAAAGGTTTCTGGTTGACCTAGTCAAAGTCTGGTCCTGCAATATATTGAGCTGTGGGGTGATATGGAGAATGTCTATGAAACCCTCCAGAGTGGCTGAATTAAGACAAAGAGAAGACTCTGTGCTTTTAGTAGTTATGTTTACATTGACAATATGATTGCACAAGTTGGAATAAAGAAAAACAAAATTCGCTTAATGGAAACACGCTAGTTTAGAATACAAAAACATGCTTTTCGCAAAAACGTTTTTCTACTAGGATGAAGAGGTTTTTCAACTGCGTTGAAATTAGCGTATTTCGCAAAACTGCAACCGAAACAATCTTTTTTGCATCACACAAGTCATGTGACTAAACCACCGAATGTTACAGCATGTGGAAAAGATGAAGAAGACGACAGGAAGTGGTAGGAGGTCATATCATGATGACTCATGGTGTGACCAAATATATGCACAGGCTTTAGCTGTATGTCTTATTTAATGCAAACACCGCAATTGCAAAGTAGATTTTTCGACATTAGCGGAATATCGACCGACCTCTGCGCACGTTTTGTAACGGAAACGCAGCTACGACCACCAGATGTTGGTTGATGAAAACTCCAAATGGCTTTCAAGGTTTCACCTTTACATGAACTCAAAGTAACGATGTATTGCCCTGATTCTCCTGTTTGGGATAATAATCTGTTCTCTTTTTGATAATGATCTTTTTTTTTCCCTTTTTGTTCTGTGGATTAGTCTGCAATGCTCAAAGCCCTTTAGGAAAGAAAAAAAAAAAGTCCAGCTAACAACATTTTATCGAGCTCTGAGGAAGACCTTTGATGAAAACATTTGTTTTTGGGGAGGTATTTAAGCTGAGTCCTCCTGTCAGCAGCAGCTCCTTTTATTTTTTTTTTTTTTTTTGTATCCTGACTTTGTTGTGCACCTGGATAGAAATGAGGAGTATTAAGCCTGAGTCAATACGGAGCTGTGAGTTTTGGCAGCGGCTAAATAAGACGCAGGCAGATCAATATGATGAGAGAGAGGCAGGGACGACGTGAGGCTGCCATCCCTCCCTCCCACCCATCACCTGCGACACGGCACGCTGCCTGTCAGCTATTTGTCACGCGGTGCACACAGAGACACGGTGTTCCTCTCTCACCACATCGCTCCATCATTGCCAACACTACTGAGTTCACACAGCGCCCCAGATACGGAGGAGAGTCCGTGTCCAACAAAAGCCAAATTTGAAACGTATAGATGCTCTTCCACGGCAAATGCCATCAATATCCCGTCTGATCAATAAATGCTCATAAATCCATGAGTGAAACAATAAGCACACGTCATGAAAACATTTATGGCAAGAAGATGAGAGCCTCAAGGATGAAAGCTGCAGAATCGATTGTGCTTATTCTGCCTTGCAAGTGCCAGGGGAGAGAAAGAAAAAAAAAAAAGAGGTTGGAAAATTGATTTTGTAAATTCTCTCTGGTAAAGAATGACTCACACTCTCTTGCCACCTCAGATGATGTGTCAGAAAAAAAAAAGAAAACAGGAAAGTGACAAAACAGCAGCGTGTAACAAACAATGCATCTGCACTTTTGAATGAAGAAGCCCCTGCAGCATCCGAACATTTATGCCAACGCACAGGAAATCGGTCGGTTTATAAATGCCCTGTCTGTTGGCAGATATTTAGGAGCTAGCGCACATCAGGGGTAAAGTTGCCTGTAACACAGTTCTTTTCTTCCCTCCCCCCGCCCCAAAGTATGCTTCACATGCTTGGATCTAAATTTGTTTGGTTCTATTCTGAGACTTGTGTGGTTCTCTCTCCAAACCCTCCCAGAAGAAATGTGTCAGCCCGTCGATGGAGATCTGCTTCAGAGTCAGTCATCGTTGCCTCTGCAACCGGAACGCTCTGCTGCCATTAATTTGATATCATGCTATACGTTTGACTGACTGGACGTCAAGGGAACAAAGACAGACAGCCGGATCCTATACCGTTACGTAAATTACTCTCTCGCCTTTCGTGGCGGCGCATTCTGGCGGTGGGATCCCTGGACGGGTGTTTCCATTGGCTCCAACATGGAGCCACCGTGACAGTCGCAAGCTATGACCACTTGGCCTCATGCAAAATACTCAAATGCAACACCTTTTAAACTCAGTGCGGTGGGTTACGGAGAGAATCCTGCTCCCAGGTTATTTGAAGCATCTGCTGCTTGGTCGACTCGTCCATTAGCCAGTCACCATTTGGTCCGCCTAATACAAATAGCCAATGACAGCCAGCATTGTTACAACGCTGAGCTCTTTGCTGACAACAGATTACCCCTTCACCTCAATAGGCAGGCATGATTATCACTTGCGTGTCATTCAACAGCTCTATTGTGTTTTAAGATGCAACGTTTTAAGTATTTTGAGACATTTTTGTAATGGTGGACCCAGGACTCTTGTCTTTAATAGAATGCTGTTGAGGTTTTCGTTGTTAAATAACTCTAAATCCACAACCTCCCACCCTGCTGCCGCATCGCTCCAGTGCTGCTCATGTCTTTATATCCTTGACATCTTCTGACTTTGATGAAAATTATGTTAGGTTATAAGCTGTAAAATTCTCTCGTTCTCATCAAACACCCTGATAATTCATGAAGGCGTCCCTAGGGACTCTACAGTGGGCCACATTTTATGTTTTTTTTATTTACATGAAATCTACCTATGATATTGTATGTTATGGTGGAAACTCTAGAGTATAGATGATAATGCTGTTACAGTAAGTAATAATGATATTTAACAGATATTAGTCAGCTGCATACAATGCAAAAGGATGAATCCAATTCAGTTTGTTTTTTTGTTTTTTTTTGCAAAACTCATTAGATGTTTCAAGTCCTAAGCGTACAATTAAAATTAAAACGAAGTTCATGATGTATCAAAGACTCTGTTGTAACTCTGCCATTAAAAATCCAGCCTTAAGATATTTATAAATGTAGGTTCTTTTGTGTCAGCCGGATGAAGTGTGTTTGGTAAAATTTTGACTGTCTTTGAAAATCAGTCGCAGGCTGCGCAAAAATAATTCAAAGAGCTGCTCTACGGACACCCCTGCTGTAAACCATCGTCACACTTAAAATGGACTATTAATCAGTCACAGCTGGACAAAGTACTCAGTCCACGGGAAAACATTTGCCACTGTCAGCAGGGCCCTCTTTAATTGCATTCGTGTATTGTATTATTCCGCAGCAGTACACAACAACAATCACAGATGAAACCTGGCAAAAAATAAAACTATCAAGCACGGCGAAAATAATTGCCAGAATAACGTCGATAAGCTAATTTAGATTTTTTTCAGCATTGTTGTATTCTGACTGGTCAAGAACAGTGTTAAAACAGGACCGAATGAAAACAGAAAATTGGCCCTCTTGTACTCCAGCTGGAGTTCAGCTTTGCCGTCTGGTCTGATTAAACCCAGTCAACATGATTTGTTTGTTCTTCTCTCCGAGCACAGAGACGTCTTGTATTAATAAGAGTCGTATGGATGTTAGCATTAAGCTTTAGTGAAACACAATTTGCTTAAGCACTTTAAGAAATGTGAAGATGGCTTACTGATTTATAACTTAATGTTTGGATTTAATTCCCCCATTAATCGGATCATTTAGCTCAGATTCAATTAAGCTCCATCTCTGCTGCTTTAATGTATCCTTTATCGCCCAGCGTTGCTGTCGTCTCTCTCCCTTTTTTAAAAAAAAATTCTTTCACATTCTACAAGTCTGTTTCCCTTGACAACCACATCCACTGTTCACAATTATGCACAAGAGGTGGATCTCTGGGACAAACAGAGGATAATAAACAGCCAACCTCCTCACCTAAGCTTGCGTTTGTCTACGTTGAAGTGGCTGAGGTCAAGGCGGGAGTTTAATTGAATGTCACAGCCCTTTTTCTTTTTCTTTCTTTTTTTTTTTTTTTTGTCTAAATATTTTTCGATGAAGGTCGTTTCAGAAATGAACATGGTTGCGCAGCGGGACGCGCGTAATTCTGATTTAAGCCTCCCACTCGTCCTGAAATGGACAGAACTGCAAATAGACTGACATTTTCCTCCTCCCCGCACATTCATTCCTAACACTCTGAAAGGATCTATTCCTGTAGAGTCTGCGAGCGAAAGTCATTTCTGGTTCGTCAGCACAAATACAATATTCACCACCAGCCACCCAAACGGCATTTTTTTTTTTCCTTTTTTCTATCCTTCCCACTCCAAACTTTCATTTCCAGGCAGAACAAACAGTCCTTTCTTTCTTTCTTTCTTTCTTTCTTTCTTTCTCTTTCTTTCCCTCCATCCATTTTTTCCCCTCATTCATCCGTCAGTGTAATTGCCCTCTCTCCAGAAATAGAAAGGAGCTGCCACAGACTGTCAAAGAGCCAGTGGTTAAAGTGTCCTTCAGGAGACAATTCAAACACTTGGGGAGTTTAACTTGGTTCTGAGTAGTTTGTGCTATAGGTGTTCACACCTCGACTATGTTGGCCCAGTATTTTTTTTTTTTTTCCCCCCACAGTTGCAGATATTACGCAAACCTTTCGTCTTCAAAGTTAGTACTTTAAGATGACATAGGAAAAGTCCAGCTATTTTAACAGAAAGTGGCTTTGACCTGAACGTAAATCTCGCAAGGAAAAAGAATATTGAATAAAATAATTTCACAGATGGTACGAATGACTTTCTCTCGTTATTTCATCCAGTGAATATTGTTGTTTTTACTGCATTAGTTGAGAGCTGTCTCAGAGAAATTACTGACGAAAAATATAACTTTAAAATATAACTTTTTTTATATTCTGATAGTTAATTTCTTGCTGATTCTTGACAGAGAACAGCCTGTGGAACTTAAAGATTTGCCACATTTCTGTGTGGAATCCCGGCGGTTCAACATCCACTTATTATCTTTTTGTTTTTCTTATCCAAAACCAGGTCATGGTACAGAGGAATCCCACTACCTGTCTCCTCAGTGACACTCAGGAATATTATCCCTCAACAAAGTTCTGGTTCTGCCCGTGGGGTGTCTTCCAAGCTTTTACCCAAAGATTTTGGCGCTTCTCACCCTACTGAACCAAATCCACCCTTTCGAGAACACTCACTTCCGTCTTGGATTCAGGATCTCATTCTTTCATTTCTCACAAATACTGCGATTCAGAGCACAGCAGGTCCTAAAATAAACTCATTTGTTTTCTAGAAACACATCTGAACTTCAGGTTGAACCAGACATTAGCTGCTGGAAGGACACCTCCCTCCACAGAAGCAGCATGGAAAGTGTTTTCTAAGATCTCTCTGCTCTGCTGCTATGTCTCACTTTGCCATCTTCTACTCCTCCTCCCCTCCTCTGCTGTTTGTCTTATCAGTCAGTTTTCCTTACAGCCGCTAGAAGAAAAAGAAGGGGGAAAAAAAGAGTAAAACGAGATTTATGTTCTTCTCTTTCAACTAATTTTGTACTGCATGTGCGACTGCGGGGTAGAGGTAGTAACACAGAGCTCTCACGTGTTGCATAAGCTTGTGTTTGTGAAGGGAGGAAGCCGTCACCATCACCCTCTCTGTAAAGTGTCTCATCTCTGTCATTAGCCAATCTTGTGAGTCTGCCTCTCTGCCAGCCTTGCTGCTAAAATGCTAATGAGACCTACACACTGCAATTACAAAAAAAATAAATAAACACACACGCACGCACACACACACACGCGCGCGCGACGACAGACACACCAGTGCAGATACACACCTCGCTCGTTGTCACCCATTAGGGGGCATTACAGCCCCCATGTTGAGCCCCGGCTTACATCAGCAAGCAGACTCTGGGTTATCATATTAGTTGGAGACTTTTCATTCGTCCAATTAAAGTCTAGACGAGAACATTTGTTTAAGGTGTTGAAGAGATGTGAGGGAAGGGGAGGAACGTCATTAAGAGAATGAAAACGTGAATTAAAAAAAAAGAAAAAACATTAATTGCCCCCTCTGATTAAGTTTTTACTCCGCGCTGATGGGAAGTTGGAGGAAAAAAAAAAAAAATTGGCTTAATTCACTATCACTTGAAATTCTAGACCAACCAGCTTTTCCATTGTGAGCCTCCTGAGAAACACGCCAACGACAACAAACAAAACGTAATCAATCGAAAACCCAACCGTTTTGAGAGGCAGACTGCATGTGACAAAAGGCCTCCTCTGTTCTGGCATCAAACCGGGGACGTCACAGCCACATGATGGGCGCCTTCAGCCAGAGCAGCCACCCACACAGGGATTAATGTTTGAAAAAATAAAAAAATAAATAAATAAAGTGATGTGGCAACATACACGCAAAAAAAAAAAAAAAAGTAGTTCAAAGTGGCCGGGGATGATTACAGACTGTGTCAGCTCAATACTCTTTGAAATTCCTTAAGTATTCTAGCAGAAGACAAGGAGGGTATTGATTAAAGAATATAAATCTTTATATAAATCTATAACACGAAAGTAGAAATACTGGTTGATCGACAATGCGTAGAGATATATAATTATAAAGAAAGGAAAGCTGTAGTTTATTTCTCCCCGTTTGAGGTCTTATTCTGAATGAATTATTTTTCACACGTCTGACTTCACACACATTTGAACTTGAGTTGTTAGGTTATCGCCCAATGACTTGCTGCAAGTATAAGCGGGTATGGACAATAGATGGATGGATATTTGAAAAAAGTTGAACCATCGAACAGACAGGTGGTATGTCGTCATGGTAGCAAGCTAGCAATAAGTGAAAGATTTTTTTTTTTTTTATAAATGTCGAAAACAGTTTGCATTTTGTACACCTATCACCATTAGAGTGTTTGGAAACTGCTGAATTTTTTTTTAAAAATGATTTTAAGGGATGACCTAATACTTTTGGCAGTTGCAATTTATTATTAATTTCCAATTCATCTTTTAAACCCTACTTGGCATTCCTCTCGAAGCTACCACTGAGATATTCCCTCTGGGCATGTTCTGATAGATTATTTGCCAACAAATGTTACGCTTCTTTTCGATTATGAACGACATGTTCCTATAAAGGTTTTATTTTGGTGGTAAATGGCAAGAACAAAAACATTTTACATTTTTCTACACAAAAGTTCCCATTTAGTTGAGGCTCTCAGGAGTGCCTGGATCGGATAAGTTAAGTTTTTTTTTGGGTTTTCGGCACAATTTCTTTGCCCAGCATTTGCACTTTTGCCAAAGAATGATTTAAAAAAAAAACCTTGGAGCAGTGTTTTTAGTCAGTTGGAGGTATAAATAGATGTGTCAGAGCACAGAGGTTGTTCAATCTTGTTATGTATTTTCAACTTAAGAAAAAAAAAACGAAGAAAAAAAAAACTTAATCACCAGACTCAATATTCAGCCTTTTAGCATTTAGCATAACTTTGTTCAACTTTATTTTGCATGATCGTTTTAGCATGTGACTTCCAAGTATTTTAATCCATTAGTCGTAAAGTCAGTACAAACAGTCGAAGAAGCTATATCAATTTATTTCTGGCAGTTATGTTTCAGCATTGTTTGTTTTAACTCAAGGCTATGTGCAAATCTAATTTAGTTTTTACCACAGTTACACAGAGAAGACCAAAAATGATTCGTATAATTTTTTATAAATTGTCAAATAATATGGAATTTCCAGTCCAAACAAATCCACAATAAAAATGTGTGTTAAATCAAGGGCTGGACTCATCTATGACTGATCCAGGACTGGCTTAGCTACTCAGCAGTTTTCAGGGGATGCCATCCATTTTGTCTGACTGATGGCAAAGATTATGTGCTGCAAATATTTGCAAAAGTGATTTATTTTTTTGTAAATTAATAAGATTAGATTTAACTTCCCCAAATGTTTTCATAATCCCCTTCAGCGATCCAATGAAATCTTGGATTTGTTCTACTGTTTCTCTATCTGCCCACATTTTAACCTATTAGCCCTGCATGCATGGTACAAACCTAGAATAACCCCAAATAATGCTGCACCTTATGTTGCCTCATTAAGGTTGTGATTTCTCGGGATTAAGCGGAATCTGACTCAATGGCTTCACATGCCAGCATCTCCGTTTCAAAACCTAATTGTTCTTATTTGTATTGCACTGTAATCCTTCTTTTTTTTATCACACACAAAAAAAAAGAGGGTTAGGTTTGTACATGATGGTTAATGGTTTCATTTATGCTGATTAATCTGCAGGTCTCCGAACATATCCCGCTAAAATAATTCCTCCGTGGGCAGAACAGCGTGAATCTCACACTGATGAGGCTACATTTTCGGGCATTTCTTATTCAAAACGTTTGACCCTGGCTTAAACGAGACGCGCGGTTGCCAAGAGTTTTTCGGCCAGGCATTCGTGCTGTTTTCGTGTGAGACAGAGGGACAAAATAACCCCGCTAGCATGCGGTTGCCAGGTAAAGCTCTGCAGGGATTTGATTTCGAGTGTGTGCGTGTGTGTGTATTTTAGAGAAATTACTAAGGGAGGTTGTGCATGGCAAAATGGTTTTGTTGACTCTGTGGAAAATCAGTGACATGTCTCCTTCTCCGCCTGCCTCTGCAGTGCCTAGAGGCGGGCCACGTGGCTCACATGGTGGCGCTCTGACTCAACGTCTTTGACACTCGGTCCTCTTCTCACCCGATTGCCTCCTCTCTCATCCACTTGTGTTTCCTCTGCCGCTATCTACCAATGTCCTCTTGTGCCTCTCTCTGTTTTCGCTCCTGTGTTGACAGAGGCTGAATGGAACACCATCTGCCATGGGCATGCCGCTGCGACGCGGTTCGCAAGAGGAAATGTTTTATCAGCATCGCTCCCCTTGCATTGGATTCGGAACACCGGCATGGCCGCACAAATCCAGGCACATGCCAAAGTGTGAACACATGAGAGAGTTGGTGCACGGCGGCTATTCAGATCTGAACCCGGAGTGTAATGAATGTCATTATGATATAGACAACCTGACGGGGGTGGAGAGAGAGAGGGGGGCGTGTTGGTGGATGAGGGTGGAAAGCAGAAGCCAGAGCGAGAGCTGTTTAATTCTGTCTGAGCTGGAAGCCTCAGCCCCACAGTCAGAACATGGAGGCTTGTCTCTTCTAGTTCCAGAGAGCGCGGTGAAATGCCCCGTGGAGGAGATGCTTGGGCAGCAACCAATGGAAAGTCAGTGTGAGCCGAATTCACATGCCTGTGTCAGAGGCGTGGGATTGGGTATTTAAATCAGGGGGAATTAGTGTGTGTGCGCGCGCGTGTGTGTGTGGACGATTTGAGTGTCTAAATGTGTGCAGTTTTGAAGAAAACGTGCATAGATTGGCTCTAAATTACCTCTGCAATATTTACACACAGGAGCTATTTTCTGCCGCTGTCGCAGACTATTTGCGCTACTCTTGCATGGGCTCGTACTGAATGCAGACAAACATGGGCTGCTTGATTTCATTATATTTTTTCCAATGGGCTAACATTGATTAGTTCAAAGAGAAGAATATGTGTCTTTCAAATTCGACTTACAGAGACAAATCTATAAATATTAGAGTGCATTTGTATTCGGTCTTGCATAATTCAATTTTGTGTGAATATTTTTCGCAATTACAACTCCAGGGTCTTTTGGGGCAGTTCTCTATCACCTACAGACTCACATGTCCAATAGACTCAAAGTGAGCCGTATTGGTTGGTGAACGTCTGTGAACGTCAATTTTCAGTCCCGCCACTAATGTTCAATAGGATTTGGGCGTGGACTTTAACTGGACCATTCCACCAAGTAAATAGACTTTGTTCTAGACCAATCCATTGTATCCATGGCGATATGTTTTGAGTTGTCACCCTTCTGAAAGCTAAACTTTCACCTCAGTCACAGGCCTTTCGCAGTTTCTAATATAATTTCTTCCATCTTGTATCTAGCTCCGTCTTTCCCTGCTGAAGATGAGGATTTTCACAGCGTGATGCTGCTATCAACATGTTTCACCAATGGTGTATTTTGGATGTATATCAGCAGGAATGGAGTATTTACAGCAGATATTTTCTTCGGCACTACTATCATTTTTCATATATATCAGGAAGTCCAATTTTGACCTCATATGACCAGAGCACCCTGTCCACATGTTTGCTTTGTCACCTACACGGATTGTGGCTAACTGCAAACGCAACTTCATCTTTTTTTTTTTTTTTTCCCCAAAAACAGCCCACAGCCTGCTTTTCGGAAAGAAAACCATCCATCATTAGCTTTCCACTTTACAGTATTACACCACATTGAATGGGTATGTCACATAAAATCCCAGTAAAATACGCTGATGTTTGTGGTTGTGATATGACAAGATGTAAAAAATTTAGAGTGGCATGAAAACCTTTGTTTTTGCCTTGGTTGAGTCACCAGGCAAAGACATTAGGAAAAAACCATTAGCAGAAAAGCATGTAAATTAAAATAATAAAAAATCAGGGCACTGACTTAGAAAAGGAAAAGAGTTAGTGGAGCTTCTTTTTCTTCTATTACATCTTTCGGATGGCGCACAAACACACCCAGAACAGAGATATTGACATGCGTGTCTTTCAAAGCAGCCCACATTACTGTGAACATTGCTATTGAACAGTGACCATTAGGCATAATCAATCCCAGAGCTGTAACTGATCTGTTCTCCCACAGTGCGGCAACCAGACACGAAGAAATGTTCAGGGAGATTTCTGAGTAATTGCAGAGATTTTAAAACTCTGCCAACTCTGTAATATTCTACACAAGCTGCACACAGAGTTTCCAGGGTTCGGCACACTAAGGACTGCCTGGGTTGTAATACATTCTAGTTTGATAATGATCACTGTTATCATGTAGCACATTGTCAACAAGTAATAATATTTTGGCAGGGCTCTGTAATCGATCGGCTCATGTACTGCAACAGACTTGTGCTGCTGTATGCCTGAAGCAATTTTGTCAAATAATGAAAACTGTCCAAGTAAATTGTTTCTTCTAAATTTGTTTTAAACCTGGGAAATATTTTCCAGAAATGTTTTACAAACGCTTGTGGTGCCTCGGATAGTTAAATAAAAATCATTGTTGTGTTTGTTGCATTATTTTTTCTTCAACCTCGAATGATAAAATAATAGGGTTTTGAAACATTATATTATTTGTAGTAATGATAGTAAACCCAGAATATATAATTAACTTAATTAAATTATTCTGTTAAATTATTTTGTTAATTAATTTTGTTTATTAATTGTCGAATAGAGAATTCTAAATTCCCATGGCCCTGAACACACCATCATCAGCAGAACAGGTGATTAGCTTCCGTTTAGCTTGGTTTGGTTCTGTAAATCCGTATCAACACACTATAAAGTGAATTATTACGTTGAAAACGACGAGTGAATGTCAAATACATGATATAATTTGGACATATTTTTTTTTTGGCTTCACATATTAACATCATAAATGGTAAGTTATGCACTAGCGCGATACGCATTTTAATGTTAGCCCAAAGGTGAAAACATGTAAGCAGCTAGAGAATATTTCACCTCTTTTTGTCAACAGTCGGTCCGTATAAACTAACAGAACTCTGCAACTAATTACTGGAGCCAAAAAAAAAGCTGCTTCTGGAATAAACAGAACTGCAGGTGCGACTGTATATACATCTGTCCTGGATTTATCCCGTGTTGCTAATCTTGTTTTTAGGATCTGCCAAACCGGAGGTGACAACAGGCCAAGTGAGATGACAGAGTGAGCAGCAGAGAGGCTGCAGGTGAGTGCAGCTAGTTTTCAATTATGGGGGCTGTAAGTGAGCTATATTCGGCCTGATATGCTTTTCACACCATCTTATGGAACACCACATTTGTTTTAGAAGTAGCTTTTATCAAACAAGTGCCACTTTATGTACTGGCCTGCAGTGAGCTGTGAGCCTGTAAATGTATTGGGATGAATGCTTTCGGACCAAATTGTTGTTCATCAGCTTAAAGCTGGATGCTTTAAATAAATCTGAATTTCTCTCAGTAAGTTTATTTCGCTCCTGACAAGTGGTGTTGCTGATGCTCGTTTGAGCCGAGTCACTGAAGGTTGGTGGCCTTCGTAGGGGGGGGGGAGTCACAGGGCAAGGAGGTCTACAGCAATACTCAAGACCTCTGTTACTCTTCTGTTGTCTTGTCTGCCTTGACGTTGTTTCATTTGCTTTCCAGTGTTACTGACACACAAGTTGTGTCAAAGCAAACAATTGTATTTGGAATATGAATTGAAGAATTTTAAAAGCTGAAATTGATTACAAAAAAATAGATTGAGGAAATCTAAAACCATAGATGATGATGATGATGTTCTGACATTTTACTCCTTATACTATGTAACAGTCGTGTTCATAAGTATAAAAAACACACAATGAAAACAGCAATGATTGATAGGCTTAACATGCAGATTTTGAGTTGAATCCTGAAATAAATAGAATATTGGTTAATTAAGAATATAAATGAGTTTATCTGTTTGTTTTTAACACATTTTAGGGGGAGGTGTTGGTAACATGAATATTAAAACATAAACATTTTCCCCATCCTGTTAACATGCACACACATTCTTTGAAGCCGCTTTATGTGGTAGTGATCGCATCCCAAGGATGTATGTAGGTGCCAGACTGAACTAATGGAACAAAGCTGAATCCTAAGCAAGGCTTTTTTTTAATGGAAAACTAATTTTCTACAGTAGAAGCTTAAGAAGCTGATCGAATGCTTAAGAAGACCGTTTATTTTATGTCAAACCAAGGAGATCTGAACAGATAATCCAGAGTATGTCCTTACTACTGTGCTGTTTTTAAAATGGCATGCAAACCCATGGTTACCTGATAGCGCGCTCTCGAGTGTGAGCGAGAGCAGGTGAGTGAGTCTTATCACACAGGCAGACGGCTGCAGCTGCCAATACAGTCTCTCACTGCTCTGGGTTAAATCAAATTTAGTTGACGATTTCTTTAAAAATTAATCAGCTCCGAAGTGCCAAGTTCTCTTGTACCATTAAGTAATCATTTAGATTCTATTGCCAAACAATGCGCATTACACACCTTTAATGAAATGCAGCTGCAGTCCTGAACATGCAACTGATGAAACGGTAACGTACACGTTTTAAAGACGTACTTTAGTGTTTGCTGTCTGCCTCTGTCTCTAAACAACAGACCAACACTCGCATACCAACATCCTTTGGGAGTCAGTTCTAAGTTTGGATGCTGCTAAGTCTTGGCAGGAAACCCTACACCCCTCATTGTCCCCAGGACGCATGCTCTTCACATGACATTTGAAGATGGTGCATTAAGAGGGCGGATGATCTCAGCGTAGATATTAGCTGTGCATATTTGTTTGTAGATTGTGTGTGTCTGTGTGTGTGTGTGTGTGTGTGTTTAATTAAAAGTTGACTGCATTTACCAAGTGTGAAGATAAACATTCTAGGTGTGAGGCGCTGGATGCCACGGGGTTGAGGAAGAGAATGAGTTTAACAGTGAACTCGCACTGCTGATGGTCAAGGAGAAGGCTTGCATGGGTTGCTGCAGGGAAGTGTGACATTTGTTCAAAATAGCCACTGGCTGATGTGCCGTCCTGCAGCTGTGAGTGTGTTGCCAGGTGATGACTCTTCAGATCCGCCTGTGTCGAATGAAAGCTCGAAGGTGACATCAGCGTTTGTTAAATCCTCGAGGTCAGACAACAGTGGGGTATTTATAGGAGAGCTTTATAGCAATCCAAGCAGTTTTATTTCCACAACTAAAAAGGAAATGGAGGAGTTTCCATAACTGCTGTTTGATGCGACAGAATGTTGTTGGGATCTGGAGGGAAGACCCAAACTGTTTACCCTGGCAGGCTACAAAATTGGTTTGGGTATTTAGAATCAGTCCTAAAAGTACAAATTACTGGACTACCAGCATCTCTGTCCATGGTTTAAATGACCATAGGCTAAAATGATGTCAGGCAAGAACTCAAAAAGAGCACATTTTCCAAGCTTGACTA